AAAAAAAAAAAAAAAAAAAAAAAAAAAAAAAAAAAAAGTTGGGTTGAAGGTATACCTCAGTGATAGGGCACTTACCTAGGATATGCCTGTGTTTTATCTCCAGCACTGGTGGAAGGAGAAAGATAGCAGGCCAGTCCCAGAAGGCATGGTTATAAATGATAGGTCTATATATATTACTGTCCTTGAAGACCTTCTAGTAGAACAAAATGTTCAATGAAGATACTAAATTGATGATCCTGACCCTGTGTAGGGATAGACCAGTGATGAACCTTTTAGAGCTTTCAGTAATAAACAGCCCACTGTGGCATACATGCTGTAGGTTGACTACCACTAGCCTAGGCACTGTTTTGTTTTTGATACCGGGGGTTGAACTCAGGTCCTTGCACTTGTGAGGCAGGTGGCAGAACCACTGAGCTAAATCACCAGCCTGTTTCTGTTTGTTTTTTTGTGACAGGGTCTCACTATGTAGTTGAGACTGACCTGGAACTATGTAGCCCAGGCTGGTCTTGATCTCACAGCGATCTTCCTGTCTCAGCCTCCCGAGTGCAAGTGTACAGGGGTGCGCCACCACACCCAGTTAAAAACTTTGTTTTTGGGCCAGGGATTTAGCTCAGCGGTTCGGTGGCCTGCCTTGCAAGCGCAAGGACCCGAGTTCAATCCCCAGTACCAAAAAAAAAAAAAAGAAAGAAAAGAAAAACTTTATTTTTAACAAAGTTTAAAAAAATGAAATAATTGCCAGGCATGGTGGTAGACACCTGTAATCCCAGCACTCAGGAGGCTGAGACAGGAAGATCGCTATGAGATCAAGACCAGCCTGGGCTACATAGTGAGTTCCAGGTCAGTCTCAACTACATAGTGAGACCCTGTCTCAAAAAAACAAACAAAAACAATAATAATAAATTAAAAAATAAAAAATGAAATAATTGAAATGTTACAATAGAAGGGCTGAGGGTATAGCTCAGTGGTAGAGCACTTGGCTAGCATGCATCAAGCCTTGGGTTTGCGCCACAGCACCACAAAAACAAAATAAAAGATGAAATATAAAAAAGCTTACAAGATAAGGGTATAGACTATTTCTGCATAGCTGTACAGTGTTTGTATTTTTTTAATTGAGTTTATTGGTACATTTTAGGTATACAGTACAGTTACATTCATTATTGGGATCTTGTACCTTTACATGACAGGTCTTGGTTCTCATTTTTTCCCCTTGTGTTTCTATTTTAAATCACAAAAGTCAAAAGGTTAAGAAAAATTTAAGTTTATAGAGTAAGCTACATTAAGCTGTTAATTTATTGAAGAAAAGTACTTTTTATAAGCTTAATGTGGCTTAAAGTATACAGTGACATTTACAATAGTATACTGTCCTTGGCCTTCATACTTAGTCACCACTCACCCAGAACAACTTCTATTCCTGCAAGCTACAATCATGGTAAGTGCCCTAATTGGTATATGATTTTTACCTTACACTATATTTTTACTGTACCCTTTGTTTATATACACAAGTACCAACCATTATAATTGCCTACAGTATTCTCTTTAGTACAGTAACATGCTGTGCAGGTTTTTAGCATAAAATAGGCAAGTTTGTGTTAAGTATACTCTATGATGTTCACACAAGGAAACTGCCTAATGATGCATTTCTTAGAACATACCCCTGTTGCAAAGCAGTGCATGAGTGTACATGAGTTCACCATCCCTCTTTTCCAGATTCGTGGTGCCCTTAATGCCATCCGAGGATTAATTCCTGCCACTTTAGAAGGGAAGCCCAAAGCTGTTGTTACTCATAGCAGTGGAAACCATGGCCAGGCTCTCACCTATGCTGCCAAATTGGAAGGTACTTGATTAATTTTTCAGGTTACTGGGTAGAATTATCAGGAAAAAGAAAATTACCCTTGATTTCAGTAGGAAAGGTGATACAGGAATTTCTAAAGGAGTCCCTATCTGATTACAAGCAAACTGAAAAGTTTTTATGCTAAATTCTCTTAACATGTTTTTCCTCTCCCAGGGATTCCTGCTTATATTGTGGTGCCCCAAGCAGCTCCTAACTGTAAAAAACTGGCAATAAAAGCCTATGGAGCCTCCATAATATACAGTGAACAGAGTGATGAGGTAAGGAGGAAAGCAGTTTTCAGTACTATTATTATTAGTAGTAGTAGTACCAGGAACCGAATTTTGCACTTGTGAAGCAGTGGCACCATGGAGCTAAGTTACAGCCCTGTTCTCTTAACAGCTTCATCTGACCAACTGTGTGCTTCCTACCTCACTGGACCCTTCTCAGGCTGTTTTCTCTTCACTCGTTAGCATACCCAACTTTTTTGCATTCACTCGAGATGACCTCATTAATTTTAGTTTAAAGTAACACCTATACTCAATCCCAGTCCTGGTCTCTCCCCTTACCCCCATACTTGCTTAACAGCTAATGAACTTTCCTACTTGGTCATATTCAGAGGACTCCCAAAGCTATTATGTCGAAAAACAAACTCCTGATCTTACTCCCCACCTGCTCCCCTTCCAAAGTCTTCCTCATCTCAGTACATGGCAGTATTTATCCTAGTTGCTCAAGCAAAGATTTTTTGGTAACTCTCACACCTCACACCCAAATCTGTCCTACTTTCAAAATATGTCCATAATCCATCTACTGTTAACAGCTTCTACCATTTCCACCTTGATTCACACCAGCTTCATTCTTCACGTAGATTTAGTAACCTAAATGGTTTTTGCTTTCACCCTCACCCTTTAGCCTGTAGCTTGTTTTCAAGAACAATCAGAGCTACCCATTTAGTAAGTCAGAACTCTTCTCTTGCAAATCAAATCCTCTCTTCACTTCCTACCTCATACACAGTGAAAACCAGAATTTGTTTTTTGAGATAAGGTCTTGCTATGTAGCCCAGGCTGGCCTCAAATTCATGGTCCTGCCTCAGCCTCCTGAGGGCTAGGATTACAAGGATGTGCCACCACACCCTTAGGATTTTTATTTGGTGTTGCATGATTTGATTTGGGACTAAACCCAGGGTCCTGCATATTCTTCCCACTAAGCTACAGCCCCCACCAAACCAAAGTTCTTGAATTATCTAAGTCCTAGATGCCCATTTCCAGCTTTCTGACCTAACAATTATTGTCCTCAAACACTCCATGCCAGTCAGCACTTAATCAGCTCCTCCAAAAGGTTAACCACTCCTACCTTGCAGTCTTAGCACTTGCTGTTATCACCTCTTTGGAATATTCTGCAGAATCCACAATAGTTGTTCATTCTGTAATTTGTTGACTTACAAGAGGCCCTTCTTGGTCAGCCTCTACTATACTCACTATTTAGACATACACCACACATTTACTTATATCCCACTTCTAAGAATATAACCCTCATGGGCCAGGGATTTAGTTCAGTGGTTGTACAAGGACCTGAGTTTGATCCCCAGTACCAGAAATATAAGAATAATCCTCTTGAGAACAGGATAGATATATTTTGTTTACTGCCTTATCTATCCAGTGACTAAAAGTCTGACAAAAAGCAAATGGTCAATAAACTGTTAAATGACTGAAACTTTTTTAGAATACTAAATGCAAATTAAGTTTCTGTACTCTTAGTCTAGAGAAAAGGTTACAAAAAGAATTATGGAAGAAACAGAAGGGATCCTGGTACATCCCAACCAAGAGCCTGCAGTAATAGCTGGGCAAGGGACAATTGCCCTAGAAGTGCTGAACCAGGTAAAACAGCCTAATTAGTTCTTCCTATTCCTTTAACTACTGGTAAAGCTGTTTGGCTATAGGTTCAACTATTTTATGTGTAGATATTAGGTTTACTAATTCACCTATTTGTATTTTTACTAAAGGTTCCCTTGGTGGATGCACTGGTGGTACCTGTAGGGGGAGGAGGAATGGTTGCTGGAATAGCAGTTACAGTTAAGGTGAGAAAACAGCTTCTGACAGACTTCCTGCTTTAGGCACAGAGGATATATTTACATCATGGTGCACTGTGGATACTTGCTCAGCATCCCTCAAACTGCCATTCTTTCCCATCATCTCTTGGAACCTGAGATGCAGAGCCCTCTGTGCTTTACTACTCTTCTCCATCCATGACTTTACAGTGTCATTAACATTGAATGATACCTTCAGTTTCTCCCAAATCCATTTCACCAAACTATTATCCACGATAGGAACTACCCTTCCTCAATTATCAGAACCAGTTGTGATACAACTAAAGCCGGTATTAAACATACAATTTATTTTATAAAGTGCTTGAAGGTCATATTTTTGTTACATCTGTCAAAGAGAAGACACAAGTAGAGAGGTATTATCTATTTAAGGTATCACATAGCAATGGTTAGTTGTAATGTGTTTAATATTACTCTTCTCAGGCTCTGAAACCTACTGTAAAGGTATATGCTGCTGAACCCCTGAATGCAGATGACTGCTACCAGTCCAAACTGAAAGGGGAATTGACCCCCAATACTTATACTCCAGAAACTGTAGCAGATGGTGTCAAATCCAGCATTGGCACAAACACCTGGCCTATCATAAGGGACCTTGTGGATGATGTCTTCACTGTTACAGAGGATGAAATTAAGGTAAAGACTCCAACAGGAATAGAAGTAAAAATAGTGCAGTCACTAAGGCAAAAAAAAAAAGTTCCTTAATACAGTTCCTTCTGTTAAGAGAAAGAACTGATCCACAGGGCTTTAACTAGGTGACTTCATCACATGCGGGAGAGTGCCCTATATGTATTACGACAAACCTTTTGAAAGTCTTAGGTAGGGTGAAAGCTGTATGTGTGCTTCATTGGCAAGCATACATACATAGCAACATGAAAAAGCCAGACTGAGCATATGTTCTTTATGGGCCTTTAGAATTGAACCTACTAGACTCTTGTCCTTCCCTTACTTCTTATCCATTTTTCCTTTTGTACCAACAGTATGCAACCCAGCTTGTGTGGGAGAGGATGAAACTACTCATTGAACCTACAGCTGGAGTTGGAGTGGCTGCTGTGCTGTCTCACAACTTTCAAACAGTTTCTCCAGAAGTAAAGAACATTTGTATTGTTCTAAGTGGTGGAAATGTAGATTTAACCTCCCTAACTTGGGTGAAGCCAGCTGAAAGACCAGGTCCTTATTAGCCATTCATTTATGTAAAATGAAGAGATATGATTGTCTCTAGATACATGAAATTGTTTTCCACATTCCGTTCTTAGTTTCCAAAATGTTAACGAGAATATATATTTCAGTAAGATTTAACAGGTTTTTTGTTTTTTTGTTTTGTTTTGTTTTTTTCGGCAATGGGGATCGAACTCAGGTCTTTGTGCTTGCCAGGAAGGCAGCAGAACTACTGAGCTAAATCTCCGGCCTAATAGGTTTTTTTAAACTACGTTGTAGTAGAAAAACTTCCATACTTAACTGAGATATTTGTTAGGTAAAAAAAAAAAAAGTCTTCTGTAAACAGGGCAGCCAAATGATAGGATAACACAGAAACTACAAACTGCCCCATTACATCCTATAGGCGCCCATCCTGGAAGTGCTAGCGGGCAGCAATAAGGCAGAATCCATTATTCCATGTCCACTTCAGGCATTGTTGAAGAAATCTCACTTTTCACCCAAGGTACTGGTTCTGGTACATATGGATCATAAGTCCATTTAGGGAAAACTCGTTTATAGAGGTTCATCAGTACTGTGTCCTGAGATTTTAGTTTCCCATCAAATGTACATTTCATGTGGCCATGGGTACCTAGAAAGAAAACACCATATTGGCAAAATTAAAAGTAGAAAATTTTTGGGCCAGGGATTTAGCTCAGTGGTTCCATCACTTGCCTCACAAGGCACAATATCCCGAGTTCAATCCGTTGTAAAAAAAAAAAAAAAAAAAAAAAAATGCTGGGAATATAGCTCAGTACAAAGTCTCTGGGGTCAATCCTTAATACCACAAAATTAATCAGTTTTTAAAAACCATTTTCCATTTCCTGTTTTTATTTTTTACTACATGTTTATAGTACATAATGATTACATTCCTCACAAGGAGTTGGCACACACATAATATATCTTAACTCTTTACCTCCTTCCCCTTTCCTCCCTCCATCTCTTGGCCCCCTTTCCCATTTACAAAAAAATACATCTACCTATTTCCCATTACTTTTACTTTACTTTTATAATTAAAAATAAAAAGGGTAAGGGTTATAACTCAGTGATCAAGGACTTGCCTTTGCCCTTGGTTCTTTCCCAAGTGTATATGGGGGTGGGTGTTAAAGCAGTGAGCTTCAAACCCAATCAATGGTCCTTTGATCACACTAGAGAAGTATAGATGAGGTCCCCAAAGCCCACGTTCCCTTACCTAACGGCTCCTTGATGTGTCCCCTACGGCCCCACTTTGTCCTTAGTTCCACTGGTTTAAACCACAGGACATCCTCTTGTAAAAGAGAGAAGAACAAGATAAATTTACCCACAAATACAAACCCAGCCATCATATCACAAAGACAATCAGATCCCATCTTCTTCATAACCTACCTCTACTAAAGAACATGTAACGCACAACTGCCATCTTAGTAAAAATTTTGAAAGGATGACCACTCAGAACAACTCTCTTGATGACCATTCTGTCCGGATCCACTGACAACAGATGCCCTGTAGCAATAAGGCTGTGCATTCCTAAAAGGGGAGAGGAAAGCAGCTATTCAGGTATCTACAGGCTCATGGATTGATCTAGTCCATTTAAAGACAGTTCATATATAAGATTTTCTTGAAGAAACCTTAAAATTGCTATGCACTATGGTCTGTTCCTGTTTCCATAGCAAAGATAGCTAAATGATATTCCTACTGAGCCCCAAACCTATCCTAAATATAGCACCCTGAACAGATCTACTGATTGATTAAGAGTTATAAACCACAGAAAATCAAGTTTATCATCTCTGGCTTGTAACTGGGAGGCTGAGATTGGTATATTCTGAAAACCTTCATTACCTTTACCATTTGGCTCTCAAATAAAAATACAGAAATAAAAAGTGATAATCCTATTAAGGTTATGAGCCTGTTCACTCACATTAATTCAACTCACCATTGCTTTTCTGCTTGAAAAGCAGCACAGATGCAGGAGGAAAAGTAATTGGTGCATATACTGTTGCCACGAAGGCCGCATCAGCAGTCAGAAATCTCTGAAATTTGTGTTTATCTGCTGTTTACGGTAAAGGTTAAAAAATTTTTTTGAGTGAGAAACCATGGGAAAAAACCACATCACTGCACCACCCTCCGCCAGTATTGGGGGATTGAACCCAGGCCTCACACATGCTAGCCAAGCACCCAGCTACATCCCAAGCCCAACTGCCAAACTGCAACTCAAACCGAAAGTTTGTGTTCTTTGCCCCATTAATTCTTAAAAATGTTTCAAATTTCAGTACTACTAAATATAACCCAGTTCTATAAGTCATTTTTAAACTAGAGATAGACATCTTGGGGACCAAATTGTTTTGTTTTGTTTTTTTGGTACCGGGGATCGAACCCAGGTCCTTGTGCTTGCAAGGCAGGCAGTAGAACCACTGAGCTAATTCCCTGGTCTGGGGACCAAATTTTAATTGGATTTCAAAAAGCTCTTCAGATTGATTCTGGTGCCTATCACCCCTACTTCATTTGAGAATCAGTGCTTTATTGAGACTCCCTCTGCTAAATCATCATCAGTGCTTAGTCTTGAGCAGGTACTGGCAAAGAGCTGGGTAATAAAACTTATCCAGAGGACCATTAATGCTGCTGTCATCTTTCTCCTGCCACTGCTAAAGGCTCAATGGAGTTAAGTGATCTTCAAAAGCTACCAAATTAGTGGGCAACACATCTTACTATTCCTACTAAGCACAATCATTTTTGCTAAATAAATGTTCCTAGCTACCACCTGGCAAATTCTCTAGTCTCACACCTTCAAACTCACACACCCAGTTCTGGGCCACACTCTGCCTCTATTACTTCATGATAGCACTGGCCACCAGATACCAAGTTCCTATACTAACACATCCTTTTTCATAAAGCTGCTGACTCTGATTCAAAATCTACTGGAACAAATAAATACTCATGCCAAAGAAGCCTCAGTAATAGAGGTTGCATCACGGCAATGCTTCAGATAGGTTCAGACATTATGAATAAAAACATCATTGGCTCCTAAGTCAGAGTATTGAAAATACCTATAACCAAGAGTTTCAAAGTTTGAAACTATTCTGTACCTTCCCCACCCACTGTCCCACTAAGAATCAGTTTCCTAAAAGAGAGTAAAATGGACAAGAACCCAGAAGCTTCCCCACTACTAACCCGCAGTGTGCTGAGAGAATAAAGGTGAGGCTCGGAAGCGTCTGAATCCACAGTGGAAGATCAGTTCCTCTTTGGCTTTCACAGGCTCAGTATTGCCAGGGCTCCGGCTCACCACCATGTTCAATACTGACATCTAAGGACCAAGAAAGAAAAATTTCATGGACTAGGACTGCAACACCCTAACCTGAAATAAGGCAAAATCACACAAAGCAAACAGTAAAAACAGACAATGCTAATTCACAGTAAATGGTAAATGATGGGACATAGATTTATCCTTTAGCAAGAACTGGCATTAGAGATGAACATGGGTTGATAGAGATTTCATGAACCCTCTTAAGCTAGCTTACCTTCCAGCGTCTAACATGAAAAAAGGTCAATACCTGCCACAAAATCATCAGCCTCCAAATCATTCACTCACCATACATCTGCAAAACCACTCATTGAAGCCTTTTTCCTCAACCAACTCATACTGACCAAACTTCAGAACTGTCACGTACTCAATGGGCATGACTACCAGCTACCTAGAGAAGAGAGATCTGCACCTTGGCATAAGCCTCTATTTATTTCTTTGTTTATTTTTGGTACTGGGGATCAAGCTTGCAAGGCACATGTCTGAACCACTGAGCTAAATCCTGGCCCATAAAGATTTATTTTTAAGGCTGCTAGCTCTTATTCAAAATCTGAAAAACATACTTATCTCAGAGAAGTCTCAGAATGACAAAAAGACTGCATCACTAAGATGCTTCAGACAGGTTCAGACATTTTGGGTTAAAACCATCATTGACTTCACTTTTGTTCTTTGATTCCTAAAATCATGATGACTCATTTTGCATCCCATTGAGTAAGATGTCATGAATGGGTTGCAAGATGTCATGAATGTCTTAACTCCTCATTCTCACAAGACTTAAACTTACCTTCTGTTCATGAGGTAGCAAAGAAAATACAATCAAGGGTGTTCCTTGCCTGAAGTCCCCAACCACTGAGACAGGGACTTCCGAGACATGAAGTGTGACGTACCAGCCAACCTACCAGAAAGAAGTAGAAAACAATCAGTATTCTCCTAAAGACCCAATGATGATGAAACATTTCTCCAAATGCATTAAAAGTCTTTCAGACTACCCTAAAAACCGCTCTTACCCTTCAAATTGCTTTTCACAGACACCCCAACTTCTTCAGTTAACAGCTGATGCCTTTGTTCCTCATATCACTTTGGGGGGGGATTTGAGACAGGGTCTCATACATAGTTGAGACTGACCTGGAACTCACTATGTAGCCCAGGCTGGTCTTGAACTCACAGCGATCCTCCTGCCTCAGCCTCCCAAGTGCTGGGATTATAGGCGTGCGCCACCACACCCGGCTGTCCTCACATCACTCTTATCCATGACTTTGTGGTTCCCCGAATTCAATTATAAACAGCACCAAACTAAATTAAGTACTCTCATACAGCACCAAGTAGTAAATAGACTGTAGGGTGGACAAGGAAAGTCAAATAAATACCTCAGCTCCTTCAGCCTCTTTTTCCTCAATCTCTTTAAAGACACGTCTCCTGGAATTAGTAAAGTTCTGAAACTGAAAGATACGAGCATAATCTCGAGGCAGGTTTTCCTTAGGATCCCATGGAGATGTCCGAAAGCTCTTGAGGCCTCTGTATTTCTGAAATCTAAAATACAGGAGACTTTAAAAGAAACTAAAAAATTATACGGTGCTATACAAGGCTCATATCACTTCTAAACTATCATTGTAGTTTAAAAGAACTCAAAATACACAATCATCTATATCTTCATACCTCTATTTTTGTGCTTCTCTTCAAACATTATACTTAAACATTAGCTTCTATAGGAAGTGTTTGCTAAATTAACCTTAGTAGTTCTCCTTCATTAGAATCCTGTACCAGTTTGTACCAGTCTACAACATGATTATAAATGAGTTTCCCATAGGCATGTTACCTTTCCACATAGAATGTTAGCTTTCAGGAGCAAGGACAGTATGTTTTTTCTTTTGCATCACATGAACATAAGTCTGTCTCACAGAAGTTTTAAATAAAAGTTTGTTTAAACTTCAACTTGTTGACTAACCGAATTCTAGCAGCCACATCACGGGGTGTGTCCATTTCATCTGGAAACATCTCTTCTAGTCTTTCTTGTTTGTATTTTTCTAACATTTTTTCCTCAGCCTCTTCATCCATTTTCTCATCATACAGATCATCACGCACAGACTCCCCTATTGTCATAGTTTCACAATCTTCCTCCTCTTCACTACTCTCATCCTGTAAAATAATACATTATCCTATAGTTACTTCAAAAACCCCCACCTACTGCTACCCTAAAGACCATTAAGCTAAGAAGAAAACAATTTTACTAAACATCCAGCCCAACAAATATAGACTCTAATGAAGACTGAGTCATAAATCAGAAGACTTAGCCAGGCATAGTGGCCCATACCTGTAATTATAGCACTTGGGAGGCTGAGGAAGGGTTCCCCCAAGTCTGAGGCCAACCTGCACTACACAGTGTATTCAAGGGCCAGCCTGAATTACATAGTGAGACCCTGTCTCAAAAAACAAAAACAGCTGGGCATGGTGGCACATGCCTGTAATCCCAGCACTTGGGAGACTGAGGCAGGAGGATTGCTCTGAGTTCAAGACCAGCCTGGACTACATAGTGAGTTCCAGGGCAGCCTCAACTACATAGTGAGACCCTGTCTCAAAAAAAAAAGAAAAACAAAACAAAACAAAACCAAAACCATCTCTCTAAAGTCAGGATTGCATGATGGTCCACATCTATAACCCTAGCACTCTTGGGAGATTTAAGCAGAAGGATTTTGAGTTCGAGTCTAGACTGGGCAATTTAGCAACTCAGTGAGATCCTATCTCAAATGAAAAATGAAAAGGTCTGGGAAAAATAGCTCAGTAAGAAGGCCCTGAGTTTAATCCCTAGCACAACAAAAATAAAAAATAAAAGGAGTGTATTTTGCCTTATGTTTAGAGCAGTATATGCAAGTAGCCCGAGAGTCTATTGCCTTACCTGAGACTCCTCTTCCATAAAATTCTCATGTTCTGTATCATCATAGTCATCTCCTTCCCCAGAACTTTCACCACCTTCATCTAAAATCCATTCAGCTTGGTAACTGGATGTTCCTTTGGGGACCTTCTTCACCAGCTTGGAGCTTTCCTTCAAGTCTATAAAAGCATAAGCGAGTGAGTTTTGTTATCTCCTTCCCCCCATCACTCGGTTTTCTCAACTAGCAAGACACTAGATATTGCTGCGAATATGGGAAAGTAGCAGATGCCATGAACAGAACAGAACACTCCCAAATCTAATTTAGCTGTCTCACAATTAGCAATGCACATTTAAGTAAAATCTACATTGGAGCCAAAGTTGTTTATCTGCTCACTGTAAAACAGTAACAGGGGTAATTCTGAGAAATAGAGCAAAGCTGTATCCTATGTTTGCTTAGTACAAACATCATACAGCATTTGGGGGTAAGAGAGAACTACTACTATGACCTCATTCCACTACCCTATAGGTGCGAGCAGCTAACCTGTGAATAGCTAGACAAAACCCCCAATTTCAGGTCAATGAATAACAAGTTTGTCGCTACCAACCCTTTGCCTCACTCAGCTCCTCCTCAGTGGGCCACGTTTGCTCTCCATCCATTGGGTCTGGGATAACCTCTGTTTGCAAAGACTCCTGTCTGCCAGGGTCTGCCTTCATTAAGACCTTGAGATCTTCTTCCATATCAGCTACAACTTCTGTAGCACAAATCTGAAAACCAAAAGAGGCACTGGCCAAACATTAAACAAGAATCTACTAGATCTAACTTCCAGACATATCAGTCATTATATAGATTGCATGAAACAGTCAAAACCTGTAAAAATTTTGCAAATGGGCATTTCCTAGCATTCTTACTCTACACCCCCACTTGGCTTCTGAGGCCTTTTATAATCTGCTTATTACATTCCTTACTTCTAGTAAGCTACTTTCTTCAAAATTCTAAAAAACTCTATCACTGTGCAGAGTTCTCATTGTCTCTATCGTCAAACACATTCTTTCATTTTTTTGAGATAGGGTCTCATTATGTAGTTGAGAACGACCTGGAACTCACTATGCAGTTCAGATTGCCTGGAACTCACTTGTGCAGCCCACGGTGGTCACCAACTCACAATGATTCTCCTGTCTCAGCCTCCAGAGTGCTTGGATTACAGTCATGTGCTGCTACCATGTATTGTCTCTATCGTCAAACACATTCTTTCATTTTTTTGAGATAGGGTCTCATTATGTAGTTGAGAACGACCTGGAACTCACTATGCAGTTCAGATTGCCTGGAACTCACTTGTGCAGCCCACGGTGGTCACCAACTCACAATGATTCTCCTGTCTCAGCCTCCAGAGTGCTTGGATTACAGTCATGTGCTGCTACCATGTCCAACTGTTTTCCTAATTTTTCTTTTTCTTTCTTTTTTTTTTTTTTTTTTTTTTTTTTTTGTGAGCAGTGTCCTTTTTTGGG